AAAAAGTGAAATTCAATTTCAGAGAAACCATTTCAGTGGTGAGCAGGGCGGAAAGCAAGGGGTGGGGCCAAAAATACCCAAAATTAGAAATTTATTTTATCCAGAAGATCTTAACTGCCAGTAACTAAGTGTTAGAAAAGGCAGTTCAGTCTTACATAATGGGAAATAAATTAGCAAGTTGGAGAACTTTCCCTATATGATAAGGCTAAATGAATTTTACTTTTTTATTAGTTTATATAAAGATGACTAAAGGGGAGGAAGATATTACAAGGAATTAAAATCATAAGCGGTATGGCGACAGTAGGCTAGAGAGAACTCTTTCTCTCATAAAGCAGCAGTCTGGAGTTGTCAAGCACAATCAGTTCAGGACACAAAAAAGAAAAATCGTTCTTTACATAAGCATAATTAACTTAAGGCGTATACAGCCACAAAGCATAGTGCTGGGAACTAGGGTGTTGTTTCCTGAGTGCTCAATGGAATCCCTTAACTCAGAAACAGTCGAACTTTCAATACTAGATGACAGGAACAAATGGTAAGGAAGCCTTGTTGCCTTTATGCCCTTGCTTGTGAGCTTCCCAGAAACATCTGGCCAGATAGTGATGGAAACAGAAAAGTAGACTAGATGAGATTTTGGTCCATTCCTGCAAAGATCTTATTTATCTCTTTTAAAGGCTGCAAATCTATAGACTTACTAGCTCCCCACCCAAAAAAACCCCCAAATATCTTAGAAAGCTCATATGATGCCTCTGAGCATTGCTTGGAATTAATGAGAAACACATTAATGTAAATATCATGGACAGGAATAAAGAGCACTCAGCTAAAAGGTCCTCTGTTCCCTTGGGTTAATTATGTCCTGCACAGAAGATAGGAAAGAGAAGCATCTTGTTTGCCCTCTGCAAGAAATTTGACATAGGACTGAAGATCGCAAGGGAAGTGATTGTCAAGAGTGTAGCAACAGCTGATGCTTGTGAGACCTTTTTGCATTCCGCCAAACCTCAGTTAAGAACTTCCATATTATGTCAAAGGGGGTTATTAATACACCACGTAATAATGCATAGCACTTTCCCACCACTTGAGAGACTTTTCAGCATGTTTCACAGACATTATCATCTCAGTAATCCCTGAAATAATGCAGAGAGCTCAGTATCATTATCCTATAATGCTGCTGTGGGGAGTGGGGGCTGAGGGCGAGACAGTGTTGTTCAGCTAAGGCCACTTGATGAGTTCACGGTTCGGGTGAATTGCGACTCTGGTCTCAGAGCATAATCTACTAGCTATTATGATAGTAGATACGACCTGACAATCCACAGAAACATATTAACAGATAAAATTGCCATATATCAAGTCAAACCAGACCAGTATTCTTTGTTCTAGCTGTGCCTCTCCAGGGACTTTTCTCAGCCCTGCTATCAAAGATTAACAGGAGCTCACTGGCATACAATAAACATACTTGCATCAAGCTAAGGCTGGCTAAGTGTCCATTTCCATAACCGTCTACTCAAGCTGCTTTAATACTGAAGTGGCATGTGGAGATGGCCACATGCGGGGCAATAGCATATGCAGAAACCTGTCTGCATTGGCTTTTAATTTACCGCCTTCAGTAAGCATTTTGATGTGCTTGTAACCACATGATGGAAATTGATATGCACAGGGGTTTGCAAAGTCACTTGACCAGCACTAGTCTATCTCCATCCCTGATATGGAAAACTAGAAGTCAACACAAACCATGCAAATCATGCTGCAGGCAGTCATGAGAAAGGGTTTGTCTCTGTCATGACAAAAACCCTCTCCCACCTCTGTTTAAATAGAAAGAGCCTCCAGTTTCTTCACTTCAATCACCCCATGAAGCATCAGTCCTTGATTTAATAGCTGGATTGTCTTTGTCAACTCACACCACTGTTTGGCTCTACCATGACAGTTGAATCATTTTATTTCTGCTTTTGAAAAGCCCTCCAAAGCCTGGTAAATTAAAGGGTATACAAGCAGCAGAACGTGGGTCTCAAGAAAGAAATCTTAACAGAACTTAACTTACATAGCAGGTGGGGTAGTTTAAGAAATGCTTTAATACATACAAATCATTGGCCTATATCTCTCCCACTAGCATGCCATCGTTGACTGATTGCTATTAAATTACATATTACCTCCTCAGTTCTGTCCAGATTAAATACATTTATAGCTCAGTGTGACACAGAGCAGAGTGTAAGTAGCAATTGCATTGTCTATTTTAGTCTGCCACAATAACCATAATTTAAACACAGAAATGGGGAGCTAGGTGTGAAAGGAGAACAATGAAGTCTAAAGAAAAGGAATTTGGACCCAATAATATAGCCAGCTTCAAATACAATGCAAATAACATAATTTAAACAGTGCACAAATCACATTAGCCCCAAATCTCAATGAATTTTAGATGCAAGAATTATATATGTTGCTAATTTCACTTTTAAGCCTTCATGGTCGAGATTTCAGTGATACTGCAGTTCTCCCATCACTGAAATCAAAATGAGCTGTGGCTAGAAAAATGTAGTTCTTTCCTCCTTGTGAAGTGCTGTGGAATGTGGCTTTGTATGACTCTATTGCCTGGTGCCTATCATGTCAATCAGAATGACAACTCTCCCTACTTACCATATTATAATCTTTAGATTCTCTTATAATCTTTAAAACCTTCTCTTCCATATTCCATTAGGGTCTATGGCAGCCTTCTCCAACCTGGTGTGTATCAGATGTGTCTCAGTGCAACTCCCATCACCAAGCATGCTGTAAAAAGCCTGAACCCCAAAAAGGCAGGCTTGGGTCTCTAGCTCTTCAAATTGCTTGCTTCGCTTGGCACAGAAGTCTAGTTGCTTACAATAGTACAATGGAGCATTAGTTAGCACTGCTCTGACCATGACAGCCTGCTTTCACAAAACTAGGGAGCTTTCCTTTCCCGATGTTGAAATGGCACAGGGACCACGTACACTGCCCTTGAACGTTCCTTATCAGGTTGAGCTTTTGTGAGCAAGAGGAAGTAATGAGCCTATGCTTTGATGTTCAGGCAGAGAAGAAACACTGGCCACCCAGACAGGAATACTATTTGTTAGCCTACTGTTCTTCATAATCTCTTAGCACCTGTGTAACCATATTGCTCTTGTAACCATATATTTTAATTATGTAAATGCTGTGCGCATGGATTACAATGCTATAAGTTAGTAATCTATAAAAGCTAGCCACTTTCTTTGTTCTCTGGTCCAGAGTCTTTTTGAGAAAGATTCTGCTGTTTTTTTTTCTAAATCCAGCTGAATGGGGTTCTACCTTGCAGAGTCCTCGCTGTCCGCTGTTAGAGGCTTACTGCTAAAAGTTTTGGAGGTCTAGCTAGCATGTTTGGATATTATTGCAATAATATACAATCCCCTTCTTAGTAAACCTGGAGTTGGCATATCATTCTCTGAAATGATACCAGGGATAGCACTTTAACCTTTTGAATCAACTAATCCCTTTTATTCAAACTAGGTACAAAGACATCGGCCAGTGTTATTATTCTGATATTCAGGTAGAATTAGAATTAGATGTGTGAGGAATCCATTTGGGGGTGGGAATCTGTCGGAATCCCTGGGCTGGATTCCTCAGACTCCTGTCCGCCTTGCAGCAGATCTGGCTCCAAGTTCCTGGCAAGTGTGCCCAGCATTCGTGGGGCAGTGGCAAGCAGTCATTTGGGCTGCTGCACCTCACGCGGAAGAAGGGTGGCCGCCCAGAGCTTGCCAGCAATCAAATTCCACATGATCACTAGCAGCATCCTCTTCTGCACCAGTTGCAGCTGTTTGTGCTGCTGCCCCAATGCAGAAGGTTGCTGTTGCACAGCCTTCATTCTTCCAGCATATCTGGTTCCCTTAAGACCAAGCAGAGCACAAGAGGAAGTCTGCAAATGCTAGAGGGATGGATTCCACTAAGGTTTGTCCAAAGCCTAGGTAGGATCAAGCTGAGAGCCAGTGGCTTGGCTAAAGCTTCCATATAGTCTAAAATGCCTGATCTTATCTAACCTTGGAAGCTAAGCAGGGCCTGGCCCGCTTGACATCTGGATGGGTGACTTAAATGTTGTGAACTACCCAGAGAGCTTTGGCTACAAGCAGTAACATAATGTAGTAGTAATGTTATTCAGTGTGTTCAGGACCATTGCAAGAGTAGAATTGCAGACTTCCATCTTACTCTCTTAGGAGACAATCCTTTCAGGATGTCCATATTCATTCATTCATTCATTTTTCAATTTATATCCTGCTCCAAAATGTAGAGAGTTACATGCATCTTATGCAAAAAGGGAGGGGACAGCAGAGGTGATCTTTACCTTCCTGTCTGCCTGATCTACAGTTTCTGCTAGATTGGCTTTTTTGCCTATTTAGCTGGAGCATCTCGGAAGGGAAGGGAAGGGAAGGGAAGGGAAGGGAAGGGAAGGGAAGGGAAGGGAAGGGAAGGGAAGGGAAGGCTGGGGCAGGTGCCTCTTAGCCTCTCTAGTGTCTCTCCCTCTTCACCTCTCAAAACAGCCCCTTTTCTGCCTCTCTGAGACTGCTTTCTCAAACGCAGCCATAGCTGTCCATCTTTGGTGGCTCCAAGGAAGCAGGGGAAGTGGGAGGAGAAGCCAGGAATCCAAGCTATTCAGGCAGTTTCTAGGGGCCATAGGTTCATTCCCTTATTTTCACTGTCTTCAGATGTATCTTCATATGTATTTGCATTCCATAATTCCAAAATCTGTATCTTGAGTTTAGTATACCAGGCATGCTTTCCCTGCTGCCCAAAATAGCAGTAAGAACAAGGTTGTCTCAAAGAAGAGTTAAAGGGTCCTGTTGTGACATCTGCAACAACTTGACCCATCTCCTCCCTCTGCCTTCGCATATCCACTCATGTTTAAATAATACAAACTGACAACAGCAAACTGATCCATGCTGTAGATTTAAAATGCTCCTAAGCTTGAGCATATAGGAGAACATTCAGATTGCAATTCACTGGTTAAATTCTAGTGCTTTTGGTGGGGGCATGGGGGGAGTAAGGGCATATTCAGTCAAGATGGATTAATCCCTTAGCACTGAGATAGTAATTCTGCATATCACAACATTTAATTGAAATCAAATTGGAAGCTTATTTATTATGTAGAAAGGAGTGCTCATGTCATTGAAATAACCACAGTCATTTTATGTGCCACTCTCCTGAGAAATATTAAACAAAGCCTTCAATAATTGCTGTTATTTCAGCTCTGCCTAGTAATTTTCCACTATATTAATAGGTATTCATGCTTGACACTGATGGAAAAATGTACATGTCTTGTTGATGAAACTTTTACTTATTTTCATTCAAGCCTTTATTAACACACCTGCTCCCTAAACAAAAACATACTTTTCTTCTCCACCCCCACCACCACTACCACTAATAACTTGACAGGCTTAGAGCTGTCTGGCTAACACTCATACCATTAAAATCATAATAAGCAAACAAGATGGATGATGTGGGAAAGATTGTTCCCTAATGATGTTTCTGAAATATTTTAATCAAAGTCACGTGTAAACATTATCAGCAGAAGCAGCATCTTAAAATGATGCCGAGAATTTCAAGCAGAATATGCAACAGCACCTGCCCACTAGAACAAGAGAAAAATACTGAACAAGCCGCTTTCTAACACAAAGGTATATGAAGGTGTAAGGAAGTAAGAGTGTTCCCACTTGCAAGGTACTCAGAAGAGATCTTAAAACAAGAGTGGGCAATACATAGCCTCTGAGCTGCATATGACCCCCTAGGTATTTTTGGGCCCCAACACTCCACAAGTTATCACTGCAAAAATACATTTTAGCTTTAAAACAAGGTGCCTTGGGAGCACAGACCTTTTCCAAGCAGATTCACTCACCCTGGTGCCTTTGAAACTATAACTGTACATTAAAACAAGGGTTTAATAGTTGCATTTCTACACCAAAAATTCCAAGTCAGGGAATGAAATGGTGTTTCGGACTTTTCCTCTGACTTTCTTCTGACACTATACTTTTACCTCAAAGTTTGATCCAATCCTGGGGCCTCTGCATCAGCCTTGGCTATCACAGGTGTTCCTTGAAATAAATGGCACACAAAAGGCCACACAGACACTGCTGAAAAATGCAGGTTCCAATTTTTATTTCTCTCCGATGTGAGAGGCCTTGGCAGGCAGGAGAACACCTCAACTGTTACATTTCTCCTTGATACCCCACCCCACCCCACCCCACCCACCAGTACCCCAGTCAGGATTGCTAAGTCCTGGCTTGAGGAACTGAACTTATTTATTCTTCTCCTGATAATGGGTAATTGTTTGGTTAATGTTGTTCTAGTAATGTAAAGTACAGTGTTTTTTGTGCTCCGGTTCCATTTCTGAAAAAGACAACAACAGATCACTTTGGGAACAGGCTTGCAGGCAGATGCTTTCACCTTGATAGCTTAAAAATTGTGTCCTGGAATGTTAATAGTCTGTGTTCTATTGTTAAAAGGGGAGAGTAGCAAAGCCTCTAGAAAAGTGATGCCGTGATATTGTAATATTCCAGGAGACTCACTGTTGCCTGCAAGTCAAAACAGTCCTGTCTTATGGGACGTTTGATGATCAGTATTGCAAGGGGGAATCATCAAAGGCATGATAGCTCTCTATAATTCTGACCAAGAATTACTCACTAAAAGTAGAAAATGTTTTGTGCATTCCAAGGAGACACTGTATTTTGGGGGAAAGCACGCTGGCAAACTGGCCACTTACGCTAGTCTCTTTTTATGCCCCAAATCCAGTACATCTTCCTTTCCTGATGACCATGTTCGAGACGGTGGTATACTTTAAAATGGAGAAGGTAGTATTGGACAGAGACATGGACACTATCTTTAATTGTAATGTGAATAAAGGCACCAATGTAATCTTGACCACCCAAACATATACCTCCATAAAAAAAATCTCCTTCACAAACATTGCTTAGCTGACATGGCTGACCTCTTGTTATAGTCAACCTGGAGGGGTCTGGAATGGCCTTTTCAGTCAACCCATACTAATTCCATTTTACGCAGGTCCTAGGGAAGGAAACCTCCCCTTTTCCATCAGTTGCAGGTCTCTGCTAAAGCTAAAGAGCTGATCATCTGAATGCTGGCATTGCAATGCAGATGCCTTCGCTGAGGTCATCTCAACACAAAGCACCTCCATTTAACAAACTTATTGACTGGAAAACTGCCTGGTGCCTGCACGATAAAGACTCTTTTGGAATTCATTGTTATCTCTAGGAATGAGCAACTGCTGGACAATCAGACAAAAAGGACAGTTTCCTTACCTGTAACTGTCATTTCTCCAGTGGTCATTTGTGTATTCACAAATATGGGCTCTTCCCGCCTGCATGGAGTGGTTTTTCGGGGAGATTCTAAAGCTGACTAATTAGTATTTGGCAGGAGCCTGGCCCCCTATGCGGCTAGCAGGAGGGCAGGGCTCCAGCCAAGACCTCAGTTCAAAGCTGAGACCGCCATCATTACTGCATGAATAACATGGAATAACCCACGTGTCTAAGAGAGACACCAGAGAGGATGGGGGGTGGGTATGTGTGAAATCAATCAAGCAAAAAAATTTTTGGGAGACTGAATATAACCTTGCTCATAAAGCAGCATTTTCAAGAGAATCTTACTGACATATCTATATGGATAAAAAGGTAACAGGAAAACAGGAAGAAAAATAAAGAAATGGAAGCCATTCTAACAGAACACAAACAGTGTTTTTTGAAGTCAAACTGATGGCGAAACAGGCAGAAGTTAAAGACTTCAAAATTGGCAAAATTCAGTCCTTCCATAATCTGCTTACAACACTGTTATTACAGATTTGGTAACAGGGAACAGAGCTTATAGCTAAAGCACTAGATCAATCAGCCTGCCTAAAATGGGGATAGGAACAAGACATTTTAAGTTCTTTGCCAAAAAAGAGAAGTTCTGTGTTAATTTATATACATGGACTGTTGTAAACACCCTGGTTATCACTTAATCAACCCATAACAGAACAAAAGGTCATAGTCTATTAAACACGTGAAAGTGGGCATATCCCCAGACATTGATGGAGTTACTGGGGGACTTTATAAGGCTGTTATTTCAGTCAGATCACTTCTTAAGACCCTCTTCAATGAAATTCTAGGGGGATCTAGGATTCCATAACCCTGGAAAAGGAAAGGAATGGCCATTTCTCCTATAGATAGTAAAGACCCTAGGTTGCTAGAGTCATTCTGCCCAATTGCAGTGCTTTATCATGAAGTCAGCTTGTCTATTTATTTGTTTAAAACTTTTGTATACCGTCCCATCACAGACGTCTCAGGACAGTTCACAATAAACCATCACATCCATCCTGGCCAAAAGACTGAACCAATGCATCTGCACAGACCAAACTACCTTTATACCTGTTTGTCAAATGGCTGGTGTAATCCACAAAACATAAATACTGTCCACCACAGCAACTAAACCCCAGTCTCCATCATATCTGTGTACACCTGAAAGGTCTTCAGCTGAGTGGAGTAGATCAATTCAGTGAGAGTTATACAAAAAGTAGATATGGATAGACAGTTCCAGGCAGCAGTAACTTAACACTATGCTGCCTCAGATGGGATATACTCACAAACAAAACTGATTTGCTTCCTACAGAATTGCAGAGGGACCAAGTGGGAGTTCCCCCTTGCCTCTTCCCTATTTGTCATTGCCATAGAGTCCAAAGCAAAAGGAATCTGCAGACATTCAAATACTAAAACTCTTAAATAGACCCCATTACCTGTTTCATCAATATCATTGTAGATGATGCCTTCCTGTTCCTGAATCGGCTATAGTAGCCAATAAACAGAGCTTTAGCTATTGGGTGGTATAGAAATGTAAGAAAGAAAGCAACACTGTATATATTCCAGTATCACAATGATCTTAAAATAAATCATGACCAATTTATCTATGTTGTCAGCAAATACCGTGGCAAGAAACTTTAAAATGTTTCCCAGCTAACTTTTAATTCAGCTTAAATATTTTGGTATACAAATACTGAAAGAACTGTGGCAGCTGGTTATATATTGCACACATATAATAAAGCATGAATTGAAACATAAATTGAAATAACGGGCCAATACGAAACTGTCCAGTTTGGGAAGCACTGTCTCCATAAATATGACATTGCCCTCTTTCTTTTGCACATGATCTCTCTTTCTTCCACAAGCTATGAACTGGGGGGAAAAGGCAAGGACGGAGAAATTTATTGAGAAAAGGGTTGATTAAAGCTGCACAGTTGAGTTCACCATATCCAATTAAGGTTATATTTTGCATAATTTGAGCCCGAGTATAGTATAATATACTATAAGCCCTTCTTGTGCTCTTGTTTTCAACGAAGAAAACAAGGATCTTTTACCCAAGAATTTGATTGCCATAATACTCACACTTGCTAGACCTGAGATTGCAATAACCCAAACTCAACCGGATTCTTGTTACAAGAGTGGCTGAATAGAATATGGAAAATGGTTCTCCTTGAAAAACTGACACACAAATTTAGACTTCTTATTAGAAGTATCAAAGACAGATTTACAGAAACTTGGTATTCCTTTACTGCATATATGCAAAGTCATATTCAACAACTATCACTTCCCCATCTCTACAATCTTGGAATAATGCTCTGTAAAACTGACCACTATCTTTTGCAACACTGTATGAGCCTCATAATCTGCACATGTTTTCTTACTGTTAATACACGCAAATGCCCTTCTTAATGAAAACAATTATTGGGGGCCTATTTGGGCCCAAAGCCAACTCTTACTTTTATACATAAATATATATAATGAAGAAATTATTTATCATAGTTGAATATAAACCTACAGGATTTAGAATTTGTATGGAATTTAACTATCATATGATTCAGAAGAAATGAAGTCAGAAAATTCAGTCAGGAGAATTTAGCCTTGTTCAGGTGTTGTTCATGTTGCTCATGTGAAAGTGCACAACAGCAATCTTCAGGGCCACACATTTCACCTCCCCTCCCCTCAGTCAAGAAAAGTTTTCCTTGAAGATATGTGAGGTAGGGAGGAGCTGTGACCCCTCAGGAGTGGGCCTGAATGTGCAGCTCTACAGCCTGCAGTACTTACAGTGCTCTTTCACATCAGTAATCTGAACAGGGCTTGTAACTCATCTGAAGCCAGAATCTAGCATTTTGCAGTACCCAGATATGGAAAGTTAATTTCCCTAATGTTACTACTGCTGCCCCCAAGGCCTCCTTGCCTGTTTTGGCACCCCTCCTTTTCTCATGCCCTGTGCTCTTCCCCCTACAAATTAATTCTTTGCTGTCTACGCACCATTTTCTCCTGGTTCGATCTTCTGACTTTAACACTTCCCTTTCAATCTCTTCCTCTTTCTCTGAGCACTCTCCTGTGCTCTTAAAAGTGTATGTTAAAAGTGTATGTTAATAGAGTAATAGTTTATTTTGTTATAATCTTGTGTGCCTTTCCAGCAATACTAAAACAAGCTGCAAGCCAAATATCTGCTGTGGCTTTTTATTTCAGCCCAGTAAAGACAGAACATATATGGAAAGCCACATTAGCCAGGTGTTAAGATAGTGTGATGTTTCAAGCAGAAGTCAATCACAGCTTCCCTAATGAAGACCACACATTTCTTGCATTCACCATGTGTAGGGCTGGCAGGATTTCTCCCATAATAGCTATTTGTTGAGGAATATTTCCCTTCTGAATACAACATAATACTCTTAACAATAGCAGTAACTTTCAATCTCTAAAGCAGGGTCATTTATCTAAAAAAAAAATCATTGCTTTTCTTAATTAGCATCTAATTTGGAAAAGCTCTTATGGAAAACCAATTCTTTCTGAAAAATCAAAACTGTATTTGTCAGCAGCTGTTGTCTTCCAGGGACAAATCATTTTGAATAAAAATCAGTCTTCTGCAGGATGATAAATAATATCATTCATAGCCTCCAGCATCCCACAGATAAAATAGTGGCCTTGCTACAGACATGTAAAGGGTGTGGCCCAGAATTCCAAATGCAAACACAACACAAGAAGAGAGAATACCTTATGTGAGCCTGTTCATGGACACATCACAAAATTATCCAGCTCAGACTGTATAATTCAGTAAGTCAAGTCACATAATACAGCAAAATAAACAACATTCCACACTTTTCTAAACTAGGAGAGAATCTATACTAGGCTTTGTACTGGCCTTGTAATGCCTGACTCATTGGCATGTCACATGATGCTCACCTCAAACTGTCCTCATGATACTTCTGCCATGATATCCTGGAATTCTTCCAGCCTGTTATGGCATGATTTTTAAATCAGTGTGGTTTATCCCAGTTACATATTCCAGTGTGTGCTAAACTTACAGTACTCTTCTGGGAAAAGGAAGAGTGGCTTCAGGTGGGGTGGGCTAGGGAGTGGCCCTGCATGAAGAAATATCTGTTAAGTTTTAATAGAACATGACAGCCTAGAAAAACTGGAGCAGCTGGAATGTCACTGGGTAAGAATGTATACTTATCTCCTTAGTATTTGAAAACTTTGTGGTATAGTAAGATGAGAATTGTACAACTTGGAAAGTCTATACTGACTCAGCCTCCTATCCCTGGAGTAAACATCAGAGGCAAACTAGATGTTGTAAAGCAGACGCAACAGCCTGCTCACTGTTGAAAAACAGCTATGGGAAGCCTTGAGTTTGGGTGGCGGAGAGGCTGCTTACTCCTTTCCCCACTGGCTGTTTTCCTTTTGAAAATCACTCTTCACCCAGGCTGCTTTATCACCCCATGACTTAAAAAGATCAAGACAAGCATACTTTCCCCTTAAAGCGGTGCAGTTTTGAGCAGGAAATCTGCTCAGGGTGATCATGTAAAGCAACCCTACCAACACAGAGCTTTCAACAGTTGTTTTTCATTTTCTAGACAGAGGTTTGGAGATTTTTTTATCAGTGTGATATTTGGCTCTCAGTTAGTGCCAGACACAGCTTTGAATCCTACACCAATGTATCACACATCACTGCTTTCACAGCCCTCTTTTTCTGTGTCCTATCTTTCCACTCATCTGCCACAAAATCCTTATTTTGCTTGGTGTCAGTCATCAATAAGAGAGGCATATAAATAAGTCTAGTATACCATGTGCTACTTCATATTTAGGGGTGTGGTGGTTCAGTGGATAAGATGCTGAGCTTGTTGACTGGAAGGTAGGCAGTTCAAATCCCTAGTGCTGTGTAACGAAGTGAGCCCGTTATTCGCCCCAGCTCCTGCCAACCTAGCAGTTCAAAAGCATGCTAATGCAAGTAGGTAAACAGGTACCATTTGGTGGGAAGGTAATAAGTTTCCATGCACGAAAACATCTAGTCATGCCAGTCACATGACCATAGAAGCATCCCGGGACAAAGCTGGCTCTTGTAACGGAGATGAGCATTGCCCCTAGTGTATGACACAACAAGCATGCATGTGTGAGGGAAAAGTTTATCTTTACTTCATATTTAGCATTTCTGGGTTGCACTGCTGTAGCCCAAAGCATATATTCTAGGAAGACCAGTATTATTGACTCCATATTTCAGGAGTGTTCTGATAGCCGAAGACAAGTCCCTGTTCTATCTAGTGTTTATGGATGAAGTGAGATTTGAACTTTTGGACTTCCAGAACTTTTGGACTTCCATATGTACATAGAGTAATGGTTATACAATGTTAGCATGTATATTTTATATACAAAACATATAGACTTTGTGTATGCTAGAGACAGAAAGAAAGTGGTGCTGTTGTTGGTATGTGTATGAATGTGTGAGAGTGGCTGTAGGTTGGTGGAATGAGACTGGACATGCCTGTACAAGAAATGCCATTATCAAGATGACTGGAGATAAGGCAGTGGGTGGGCAATATATTTTATTTTGTTGCACTGCATTTTTATTAAGCAATATTTAAATAAAATTAATCTCAAGTGATAGTCTATTTTATTTCTCCTGTGGAGTCATGGCATCCAACCTGCCCCATATCAATTTCCAAGCAAAATGCATAATATTAACTTAAAGTGTAATAATTCCTATATAGTGATATATCAAGTTATATATAGGCAGTGTAAAAAAATAAAACAATCTCTAGTACTAGATTAAAATCTGAAGCTACTCTACCACTGAAATGTAGAACCAACAGAAGTTCCAAATGAAATAAAGTAAAATAAAATAAACCCACGGTGAATAGAAAAAGAGACAGAATTAGGGAAGAATTCCAAAAGAAAATTCTTTTAGAAAAAGGAAAGAAAAAGTATAGATGGATAACAGAAGAAACAATCACAGTTGCTAAGAACAGGTGAAGACAGAACAGAATCCTGAATGTGACTTTTCAGTGACTGTCACATAGAGGCAAAAAGAATTATTACAATGACCAGTGCAAAGAAAGAGAAGAAAACAACAAAAGAGTTAAAATAAGAGACCTCTTCCAGACATTCCAAGGAAGCAAAGGGAAATCTGAACATAGATTAGGATTGCTAAAAGAGTAATAGGCAAACACACAATCTGACCTGGAGCAAATAAAGAGAAGGTGGAAAGAATGTGCAGAAGATCTGTACAGAAGAGATGAAAGAATGACAGAACGAAGCATACAATGAAGTGAAATGAAAATGAAGTGAAAGCTGCATTGAAAGCACTTGGAAGGAGCAAAGCAGCTAATGCAGATAGGATACCAATAGGACTATTCCAAGCTGCAGAGGATGGATCAGTTCAAATCATAGCAAGGATACCCCATCAAATATGGAAAACAAAACAGTAGCCCACAGCCTGAAAATATTGATTCACATTCTAATCCCCAAAAGAGTACAGCAACCATAGGACCACTGCATTAATCTCTCATGCAAGCCAAGTGATGCTCAAAGTGTTGCACTTCTATATATAGTGAGAAAAGTCATGTATCCAAGCTGAATTCTCAAGAGGAATAGGCACTAGAGATCATATTTCATTTATATGTTGACTCCTGGAGTTCACCAAAGCATTTCAGGAGGTAAGTCTATACTTTCTAAACTACAGCAAAGCATTTGACTGCATCTATCATGAGAACCTATGTGTGGTTAACCAGCATGGTGTGAAGCTGCAACTCCTATCATTAACATGATCAAAACTGTAGATATACCATGCAAGTCATTTATGGCATGGGTGTGACCAGCCATCACTGTCAGTCAGGGAGTCTTGTTGAAGACTAGTCAAGTAAGAAGAACATGGGTTCATGACGAAGCCAGAAATAGCACTGCAAAACCCATAGAAAACTTCAACAGATAAATTTGGGTGGGGGGGGGGGTCTCAATATTCAGGAATGATTTAATTTAATAAAGAGCCTATAGGCCCCAGGTGGAAGAAAACTTCATGAACCCTCCTTCATTCAGTTTCTTATTTCACAGCCCAGGTTTGGTCCCCTGTTACTGGCTTGTATTTTTAACAAATGCAATGCCTTTCTTTGTAGCTTCTTTGCTGCCCTCTACAGCTCATCAGAAAAACAGATAAGTGAGATGCAAAAGTAGGCAAAGCAGAAGTATTTTCACAAGGTAGTGGGAAGAAAGAAAACCCGTGTGTAATTAGGTACCGTTAAAAAACACTTTCCAACAGTATTTCTCCATCTGCTTCACAAGGTGATCCAAATACTTGTTCCTAGCCAAAAAAAAAAAAAAGGGGGGGGGACAAGCAAGCAACTTCAAATTTCATAATGATGCTAGGTTTATCATTCACCATTTTATACACATTTCTTCTGTATGCTTCTCTACTTTTTAAGATCCTCCTTTAAATGTGTCCTTCATCATTTATGTCATGTCAAAAGTCCCTCTTTCATGTCAGGGTTCCCTTTGGAGTTAAATAGGTTATGACTTCAAGGCATTAAAGGTTTCCTTTGACAGTATGTCTGAGGTGGGAGCTGCAGCAGCAAGATTCTTTCCTGCACTTTGAGGGTAGTACCAACCTTGGGGGAGAAGTTCATGAGGCAGATTCTTCCCTTGGTCAAAGCTCAGGTCTCGAAACTGGAGCAATATGTCAATGAAGAGGAGCTGCAGCACTGAACCCTCCTCTCTTATATTACCCAAGAAGCATGGAACAGAGCCACTGCTGTTCTACCTGTGGACTACAGTCTTGACAAGTTATGAGATCTAACAGTTTGGCCAGAAACGATTAAAAATTAATCTTCAAAGCCAGTGCTTCTTGGAGAAAGAGGGAGAGCGCTCAGTTCTCCCTCTTTATAATATTATTATAATGTTTTTATAATGTTATTATAAAGAGTTATTATTATAGTATAATGTTATTTCCAAAGCACCTGCAGTGTTTGCAGCATCACAATTACTTCCTCCCATACCACTCACTGAAAGCTACTTGACAAGAGAACTTTGTCTTCTCAAAAAAGCTGTTTGGTAATCTTAGCTGCCAAGGAAGGTTTTACTAAGGACATATAACCGAGCAAAGCTCCTGGCTTATTACAAGAGTAGGGAATTGCACAGTTCAGATAGCTCTCAAAGCACACTATTAGGACTCTAGTGTGAGGATCATTTACTCCAGTGGTGGCAAACATGTGCCGCAGTGGGCACGCAGAGCCCTCTCTGTTGGCATGTGAACCAAGTCACCCCAGCATCGCCCCAGCAGCCGAGCATCGGATAACAGCGCACATAGGAGCCATGTGCATGCTCGGAAAGGAGTAGCGGCTCCAGGCGATGATGTCATGAGCCATGACTCATTAGCCGTGACTCGTCTGAGCTTTCGCATGGCTGTTCAATGTGCTGCCAAGAATATATATATATTTGCTTGGACTGGCTGTGAGTTTTAATACATTCGTTTTTATTAACACAAGATTTTAACTTTGAGTTTTCTTATGAAAAAATTAAATTTAACGTCTAAAATTTAGCAAAGAGATGTCCTAATTAAGGGACTGAGATTCTTTTAATGTTGTGCTAGCATATTTGAATCTGCAGCATCACATTCAGGTTTTATTGCAGTGTTGGCACTTTGCAATAAATAAGAGGGTTTTGGGTTGCAGTTTGGGCACTCCATCTCTAAAAGGTTCGCCATCACTGACTTACTCAAACAAATCATTTATGCTCCAACTGTTGATATATGAAGATGAGTTGTGTATGTTCCATTAACGTATTCAATACTAATAATTCACAGACAACATGAAATGTAAAAGGATAAAGAGAGAAACTAATTAAAATACTTTGAAGTTATAGAAACCCTAGAATTAAATTTATCTCTCCTAGTTTTTATTTTTGATGTCATGCTTGTATTGATAGTTCAGGCAACATTCCCAATAACATATTTTTATTAATTATAAAAAAAATAATGCCCCGTCCTACTGAATACCAAGTTGCTTTGCAATAATAAAAGCACTGTAACACTTAAGCTTAAAATAGCATAATAAATGTTAAGTTGTAGATTTACATGTCTTAATTAAAATGTAACATTTTTTACACAAATTCCACAATAATAAAGAAAGGTAGTGCTTATTCCTAATGCCATTCAAAAAGTCTTAATTACTGTGTTTTTTAAAGCATCACTGAATATGGATATGAAAGCCATGTTCCTTGCCACAGGGCTTAATATCCCTCATTTGATTGCTTTAATTAAAATGCAAATTTAGTTATAGTGCAGATGTAGAGACAAAAGCTTTGAGGAATACAGCATATTATATCTAAAGAACTATTAGCCCACATCATAACCAGTTGAGATTGCTGCCACTGAATTGCAAAATTAACATTCATTCCTTCTGAGCTCTCCAGATATTATAAATTAAAGGAAGACTGCATACCACCTAGAGATTTAATTTCCACAAACTTCACTTCAAAACACTTACAAATTTATTGTGAATCAAAAAACACCTTCCTGACTGTAGTATAGCAGAGTTTCAGATTAAAGAATTGTGCCCTCTAATGGGGGAAGTGGGGAATCAGTCCTCTGACATCAGCCTATCCAGCTTGCTATCCCAATTAAACTGTGTTCATTCAGAGCAGACTTTTTACATGATAAATGAATCCTTTCTGGGGGAAACTACTACTAAGGTTTGGCAAATTGTGATGAATGGAAACTACTTGAAAATATGAAATTAGAAAAGAACACACTTATACAGAGAATTCACCTCTACACTTTGGTGCAGTCAGAAATTTAACAGATGAATTCACTGATGAAAATATTCCAGAAAATGATCAGTTTGCCTAGCTGCCTATAAGAATGCATAGGTGAGTGTGTACCCAAGGTCTCAAGGAAGTGGATTTACCCTAGGAATTTATGCCCACTTGGGGCACATCTAGCCATATCACAACCCTAAGAATTGCAATTTGGTGAAAGTTGTGGGCCCCTTTGTTATTATCTGTGTCGTGTGAAAACTGTAGAGTGTGCTTCCTTTCCAGGCTGCTC